TTTCGGGCCTAGAAATGTCAGCCTTCCTGCTCCTCTGATGCTGCTTGGCCTGCTGTGTTCATCCAGCTCCACACCTTGTTACCTCAGATCCCCCTCTACTTTGTTTCTCTTAGTAAAAAGCAATCTTTATTTATTTAAATAATCTGCCTTTTGATTCTTCCAAGCAAAGTGAACGATTCTACACCTTTTTTTTTCTACAGTTTTAAATCCATCAGCCAAAGTTTTTTTTTGTCCATAAGTCAACCTAATTATAAACTTGCTGATTCCTTGTGTCCCTGGCACAAGATGCCTTCCCACTTAATTTTGAATCATTAATTTGAATGCTGTGCTTCCTCCTCCTCAGTCATCACTATAAATAGTGAATAATTGAGGCCTTAAGACTCACCCTTGTGGCATGCCGCTAATTATCTTTCCAACTTGGAAAACTATTCATTAATCCCTACTGTTTTGTGTTCACCAATCCTCAATCCATACTAATACATTACCCTCAATACCACACACTCCTATCTTGTGCTTTAACCTTTTTTATGCGGCTGTTTATCACATTTTTTCTGTCAATCCAAATAGGCTACATCTACCAGTTTCCCCTGATCAATGCCATTTGTATAACCTCTAAGATCACCAATAGCTTTGTCAACTGTGATTTTCCTTTCACAAAACCATGTTGACTCTGTTTGATACCACTGAGGTTATGTAATTGCCTTGCTATTTGTTCCTTAAGAACAGCTTCTAGGATTTTGCCAACAGCCAATGTTGGGGTAACCAGCCTAGAGTTCTCTGCTTTATATCTTGCTCTCTTCTTGAAGAGAGATGTCAAAATAACAAATTTTTTTTTTTTCAAATCAGCTGGAACCTTTCTGGAATATTTTGAACCAAGCCTCCACTTTCACTGCAACCACTTCCACTGAAAGAAGGTCATCACGTCCTGGTGATTTTTATCTACATAGTCCCTTAGATTTGTCAAATACTGTCTCTCATTATCGAGACTGTTACATCTTTCTTCCCATGAACACCTTGCTTGATATTTTGGGAAGTTTTTATAGTGTCCTCAACCACAAAATCTGATGCAACAAATTCTGGTTTAAATTGTCTGCTATTACCCTGGGTTTAATTCCCCAGTTGCATCCTCCATTCTGTGCCTTTTCAGCACTGAAATTTCATGTTTCTTGATTATTGCTGTTGGGTCTTGCCTGAGATGTTGTTTCCTGTTTACAGTACTCCACCAAGTGTCACTACAATAACTGTTGTCCTCCCTCATTCGTCTGGTGATGTGCTGTTTCTGGGGACTGAAGGTGGCTGTGTATTTGTAGTGGAACATCCATCCTTCAGAGAGCAGGAAGAGAGAACCATCAGCCAGGAGGCTGTTCTACAGAAGTAAGTGCTCTGCTTGTGTTTCTGACAGAGACTGTTGCTCTACCTGATTAACCATCCATTGCTATAGGTTATAAAAACCAAAAGAACTGTGGATGCTGGAAATCTGGAACAAAAACAAAGTTGCTGGAAACGCTCAGCAGGTCTGGCAGCATCTGTGAAGGAAGAAAGAGTTATCGTTTCCGGTCCGGTGACCCTCACTCGGAATTGCTGTAGGTTATGATCTGATGACATTTTTATACAGATGGTACGGCACAAGTGATGCTGTTACTCATCACTCCACTTATTTTCTTTGAACAATAGGTTGGTTCTATCTGTCACATGATATTTGCCAAGATAAATTTTAAGTTTTCCTGCCCTTCCGCTTTCCTAGTCCTTTGCACCTATGCTCCTTTTTCTCCTTTTCATGTATTTAACAAATTCCCTTTTGAATCTGTGTCCAGCTCCTATCAGGCATTTCAAATCCAACCACTCCTCCATTCCTTACTTAATCTCTGGTTCCTTTTGTTATTCACCTTCTTAAAATCTGTGCCTTCTGCTTGATCCTTCAGTTACCAGAAGTGGCTTCTTTATTTATTCTACCATAACCCTTCTGTGATTTTTTTTTTTTTTTAATAGACTTTCTTTTGAATCAACACAGCTTTCTCAAGAGCCTCAGCTGTTTCTAGTCTATCTCAACTTTTTTTTTCAGTTTTTTTTTCTTTTCTCCCATCTCCCCATAAGCTGTCTAAAGATTTCTACCCTCTGAGAACCGCCAGCTGCTCCCCTAAGCCCACTCCCATCAAAACGCTTTTCTTTCTCCTCACCCCTCCACCCCTCAAAACCCCCATCACCCGCTTCTCAAATTTCACTCTTAACCCCTCCCTCCTTGCAAACTGCATCCCCTTCGAGCTTATATTTTTCTTCTCAAAGCCTTGATTACATGAACTGCTTCCAAACCTGTTGCTCCTCCCCCGGCTTGTGCTTGAATACCTGAAATCATGCTTCTGTCTTTGGCATTGTTTTGAAATGGATCTTATCAGCATCATAAATTCAACTTAGCAGTCACATCATTTACTTTAAATAAGTTAATTTGTTACCAGTTGAGAAATTGATCAACACAATCAGCAATCTTGATATTGAAGATTGCTGAGGTTACTAAATAGTTATCTGAACCAATCCTCCATGTTTTAGCGTCAAAGTAAGGACAGAAGTTCCCACAATCTATCAAACCAAAAGCGTCGAAAAACACACACTGCTGGAAAAGCTCAGCAGGTCTGGCAGCATCTGAAGAGAAATCTGTTGATGTTTCAGGTACAGTGATCCTTCCTTAGAACTGATGGTAGCTAGGAAAACATCAGTTTTTAATCAAGAAGGTAGGGTGGGGGAAGGGTAAGGAATAAACGATAGGTGAGGTTAGAGCCAATGGCGAGAAAGGAACAGTTGGACAGAAAAAGGAGTGCATAACGATCTGGCTATGAGGGTGAATAGCTCTTAATGGAGCTTCCATTCTGATGAAGGGTCACTGGACCTGAAACATTAACTCAAATTTTTTTTCTTCTCAGATGCTGCCAGACCTGCTGAGCTTTTCCAGCAACTTTGTTTTTGTTGTAGCTCTTAATGGAGACTGTTAGCAACTAACAATGGATTGTATGTAAGAGCAGATTGTGATAAGGCCTGGTGTATGGGGGTTGGAGCAAGGGCGTAGAGTTCAAGCACTAAAGTTATTGAATGCGATTTGAATCCAGAAGGCTGCAGGGTCCCCAAGCAGAAAGCGAGGTGGTGTTCTTCGAGCTAATGCTGAATTTTGCTGGAGCGCTGTAGCAAACCTGATTGAGATATTGCCCATAGAACAAGGTGGTGTGATGAAGTAACAGGCACCTGGAAGCTCAAGGACCTTATTGTGGGCAGAACACAGATGTTCTACCAAGTGGTAATCCAGTCTATGCTTCATTTTTCCCCAATGTAGAGGAGACCACATTGTGAGCAGCAAATGTAGTAAACTAGATTGTGTGAAATGCAGGTATGTTTGGAGCCCTTGCATACTGAGGAGGTAAAAGGGCAGGTGTTACACTTTTGACGGGAAGGGTGCTATGGGGCTGTGGGGGTGTTGTTGGGAGTGAAGGAAGAGTGGACCAGGGTGCTCCATAGAGAACGGTCCCTGTGCAAGGCAGACAAAGGAAGGGAGTGGAGGAGTGTGTGTGTCTGGAGGTGGCAGAAATGGCATCTAATGATCTTCAGGATGTGGATGCTGGTGGAATGGTCGGTAACAACAAGGGGAACCCTATCGCTGTTGCAGGAGGGAAGAGAGGGGTTGAGGGTGGAACTAGGGGAGATGGGTTGGATCTGGTTGAGGGACCTGTTGACAACTGTGCTGGGGAATCCTCGATTGAGGAAGGTGGTGATATTTGAGGCTCCCTTGTCAAAGTTGGCATCATTGGCACATATGTGATGGAGACAGAGGAACTAGGAGAATGGAATGGAGTTTTACGGGAAGCATGGTGTGAGAATGCAAAGCCTAGTTAACAGTGGGAGTTGGTGAGTTCATATTGGATATTGGTGCCCATTCTATCCCCAGAAATAGAAACGGATATCAGGGAAGGGTGGAGTCAGAGATGGACCAGATGAGTGAGGGCAGGATGCAAATTGGAAGCAAAATCAACAAACCATTACAATTCTGGACAAGAGGGAAGCAGCACTGATGATATCATCGATATACCAGAGAAAAAGTTTTGGGTGGGGTTCGGAATAGAACTGGAACAAGGAATGTTTCACATGCCCCACAAAGAGACGACAGGCATAACTGGGCCCCATGTGGGTACCCACGGCCACCCTTCTGACCTGAAAAAAAAATTAGGGGAGTTGAGAGAAGTTGTTTAGGCTAGGAATGAGCTTGGCTTGGGGGAGGATGCTGGTGATAGGTGGAGACGGTTCAGGCCTTTGCTCCAGGAAGAAGCAGAGAGCCTGGCGAGCATCCCTTTGGAGGATGAACATGTAGAGATTGCACGTCCATGGTGAAGAGGAGCCGGCTGGAGCCTACAAACTGACAATTCTGAAACCACTGTAAAGCATCTGAGGAATGGCAGACATAAGTGGGCAGGAACTAGACCAGGGAGAAAAGACTGAGTCAGTGTAGGAAAAGATGAGTTCGGAGGAGCAGGCAGAAATAATGGGTCTGCCTGAGCGGTCTTGTTTGTGGATTTTTGGAAGGAGGTAGAAGTGAGCTGTGCAGGCTTGGGATACTATCAGTTTGGAGACTGTAAATGTGAGATCACCGGACAAAATGAGGTTGGTGACCATAGTTGATACAATGACCTGATGTCCCATGATGGGGTCATGGTCTGTGGGGAGATGAGCGAAGGTATCTGAGAGCTGGCGCTCGGCTTCTGCAATGTAGAGGTCAGACTGCACGGGCAGGCTTAACAATCCAGGTTGGATCTGAGTGCAGTCAGTTCGGGCGGAACGAGGTTGGAGTGGGTTAGGGAGGCGAGAACTTTAGGCAATCAATGTCACATTGACTGTTCTGTTCTCCATCAACAGGGAGGGGACCAGGTGGAGGGAGAGTGTTGGAGGTGGGTGAAGGGATCTGTGGAATGGGGAGAGGACTCTTGCCCAAAGGAATGGGCACGGAGGCGAAAGTGACATAAGAGCTTGATGTCACGTCATGCTGAAATTCATTAACGTGGGGACACGGGAATAAAACAGACCTTTTGCTGAGTACAGAACTTCCGCATCAGAGAGCAGAAGGTTGAGGGATGGTGAATATGCAGCAGGGAGGTCCATGGCTTTGCAAAAGCTGTCAATTAGTACCTTTTTTGGTTGTTGAGTCTTGTTGTAACAGTTAGTTGTATTCTTGTCCAAAGCCCTTTGTGAGGTGTCTAGATGTCATTCGTTCTTCTCATTGTTCTAAAAAAGAACAGCAGTTTGGTATTGAAATTCCTCTAGTTTTTTTTTAAAAGTCTTCTCACCACTCCCCCCACCAACCCACCCATCCCAAATATTGGCTGTGATTAGAGTGAGGGGTTGGTGGGAAAAGAAGAGACAACAAATTTGAAGTGAGGAGGAGTAAGCTATCTCTATTTTTCCTTCAGAGTGCCCGATGATTATCGAAGTAAACGTCCACTAGGATCTGTGGAGGCCCTGGAGGAGAACCCAAGAAACCCCCATCAGATACTGATTGGATATAGCAGGGGCCTTATCATATTGTGGGATTTGCAGACCAGTGAAGCAACACATCAGTTTCTGGGAGATCTGGTATGGTTTTCTTTTTATAATCCATTCTGAGAATATTGATCTACTAGGAGTGTGAACTACCCTTTGACCATTCGGTGATGTTGGCTGTTTTCCATCAACAGCAGCTGGAGAATGTGACCTGGCAGAGAGATGGGCGGCAGATCATCAGTTCCCACAGTGATGGCAGTTACTGTCAATGGCCTATATCGAACAATGATCGATTGCCACAGCCTTTAGAAAACAAAGTGCCTTATGGTCAGTATGATCCCTGTGGAACAATGTCACCTATGCTGAAAGGCCAACAAGGAGACTTCATAAAAATGAGTTGGAAAGCTTAGTGCACAGGATACCTGAAGCTGACCAGATTTTCTGCATGCCCTGTGCCATTTGTCCTCCCTTTCTTTTAAGGAATTGCTTGTCCAATTCATTGATATTTGGCTGCAATCTGCTAACTTGGGACAGGACAGGACAGGACAGGCCAGGCCAGGGCAGAGGCTAGAAGAAGACAGGCTGAGGAAATGCAGGCAACTAAAAGAATTGCGTATTACTGTTGGAGATAAATGTGAATTAAGACTTTAGAACAGATTTCATAAACTGTATTCAACCTGGCTTTTGGTAAATATCGTCGTGGGATGTGCACAAACAACAATATTGAGCTCCGTGTGATCTCTGGATTTAAGATCTGTTAGTAAGCTTCTTTCTGCCTCCTTGTCTACAGGTCCCTTCCCTTGCAAAGCAATTCCAAAGATTCTTTGGCTCACAACTAAGCAAAGGTAGGTCACTGCTCTTTATCAAGCTTAGTGTAGTCTATGACTGTTTCTGGGGAGGTGATGGCCTAGTGGTATTATCACTGGACTGTTAATCCAGAGACCCAGGGATTATCCTGGGGACCTATGTTCAAATCCCTCTATGACAAATGGTGGAATTTGAATTCAGTGAAAATCTGAAATTAATAATCTAATGATGACCTTGAAGTCATTGCTTATTGTCACGAAAAACCCATCTAGTTCACTAATCTCCTTTTGAGGAAGGAAACCACCATCGTAACCTGGTCTGGCCTACGTGTGACTCTAGACCCCCAGCAATGTAGTTGACTTTTAACTGCCTTCTGGTTGATTTATGGGGCTGGGCAATAAATGCTAGCCAAACCAGCAATGCCCAAATCCCATGAATGAATAACTAGTGAAAAAAATTTCGTGAGTACGGAGGACTGACCAAGGCCAATAGCTGAGGAATAAGAAGGATCAGATGGGGGATAGGAGTAGGAGAGCAGGAATGAAGCAGTCTGTTGAAGTTGAGAATGCTTGTGCATTGACATGCATTGTTAAATACATGAGCTGCATACATGAGTTCTGTGGTACTGATTTGTGGCAGCAGAAATCTGGGTTAAAGAAAAAGTGGATTGAAAACTGTAGTACTTTGTAGCCAGGAAAATTGGCGGGGGCGGTGGGGAGGCAAAAACTATTGGCAATATTTAATCAAACTGTTGACCTTGGGTAGGATGGTTTGAGGGTTAAGTGACAGTCTCTTTTCCTATATTTGAAGGAAGATCAAAGGAGATAGTACACAACTGGCTACAGCCCCCACAATAGTGGGGTAAGAAAGGTGATGGGGCAAAATACAGTTGCAAAAATGAAAATAACCTGAAATTTTGTCCCAAAGAGAATGGAATAGTAATGATAAAGGAAAAAGGGGGCAATGTTCCTGGAGATGTGCATGATCACTTTTTGGTGCTTAAGTGGAAGGTACAGTGTTGGATTTAGTTCTGGGGAATGAAGTAGAGCAATTGATTCATATTTCGGTTGGGGGACTATTATCTGTACATTAGTAGTGTACAGAATACTTAGGGTGGAGGATGATCTGTTTTAAAAGCTTTTATCTGGAAATAGCAACTTCAGCGAAATGAGAAGGCATCTAGTCTAGATGAGTTGTGATCACAATTTGATCAGTAAAACAATAATTGAATAATGGGGGGACCTTAAAAGACGAGAGGTCTTGTACAGAGTATACGTATTCCTGTGGTTGGGATGTGGGGAGAATATCAAAAGTAAATAAAATGAGGTTAAAATAAGACAAGGGGGCTTTTGATGCTCACAATGCATTAGAGAACGAAGATGAATTTTGAAGGTCTTTTCCAAATGAAATAGGGAAACAATGACAATAGATTCGTGACCAGCATCAAAAGGAACACAGTTTTTGTTTTAAATGTAAACGTTAGGAAGGCAGCTCAAGATGATTTTGAGCATGATTAAGAGCTAAACAGATTTGTCTTAGATGCTAGACTTAGCTAAAGTAATAAATGAAGACTTTGGATCTACCCTTGAGGAGAAGAGGATGCTGGTAATGTAATAAAAGGGATAGTTGCAATGTTTCTAAATAGAATAAAAATAGAAGATCATAGAACAAATTCAGTCCTCAGCAGGTATGTCCCTTAATCTGGAAGTGAAACATCCTAGTCTACGAAATGTGGAAGTTATGTGTGCATTATTCCAACCCCCCTCAAATGTGGGATTGTGCTGTAAGACTTGAAGATTGCAAATGTTCTACCTCTGTTTTGTTTTTTAAAACCTATGGTGAGAAGGATAAACCTGGTAATTAATTAAAGCCAGCTATGCAAATACAGATGGTAGAGAAGACACTTGAGACAATTTGGGACAAAATTAATTGATATTTTGGTAAGATATGGGCTAAAAAATGCAAAGCAGCACTAGTTTGTTGAAACCAAACTGTTTGACTAACTTATTTGAGTTCTTTGAAGTGACATAGTTATTGTATGTTTCAAAAGGTGTTTTGTTACAGTTTCACCTGATAGATTCGTTTGCGAATGTAAAGTCCATGGGGATTAAAGGAATGTGAGCAGCTTTGATATAAAACTTACGAAGGGATGAGAAGGATGCAGGGTTGGTGTGATCTAAGCTCTGTGTATTGGGTTTTATTTTGAAATCGATGATGTTTTTTGGAGCTGTCTTTTTGCACGTAACTTGTATCTGAGGAATTGGAGAAGATTCATACAAGAAGTGGGAATGTTTTTGTCTTTCTGCAGGACTCCATTCATCATCTTCAAAGGGGGGATGCCTCGGGCCAGCTATGGTGACCGACATTGTATCTCTGTCCTACATGGCTCCAAGCAGACTGCGTTTGACTTTACTTCTCGAGTCATTGATTTCTTTGTTGTTGATGAGGGCGAATCTGAATCGGGTAAATATGTTGTCCCTTTTTTGTTTGTGGTCTTCTGGGTGACATGTAAAATGTTTGTCCACAATCTGTTATGTGATCCACCTGTTCCTGTTGCCACTGGGTATTGTGCATTTATGCACCACCACCGGTATGTTGTCTGCCATTGTTTCTCAGCAACAGCCTATGAATCAACAATGCATGTACAAACCTTATTCATCAGTCAATAATTAAATCACACAGATCAAGCTCCTTGCATAATTTTGCAATGCAACTTTAAAAATATTTATTTAACTTTATTCTGCTCTGTATCTAGCTGCACATTGTACCTGCAGTGGGAATGTTTGTTGATTCTTGACATTTGCATAACTAGCTTTGAGATTCAATTTAGTATGTGCTCAGCCAATTATCACTTTCAAAATCACACTTGGCAGTTTCTGCTGTATCATAAGATTCCAACTTTTATTATACTTCAAAAGCTTAGAATTGGTTTGATATTTCATGAGGTGATTATAGTTTCCTCACAGGAAATTGTTGAATGTTATCACCTTTTGGTTTGACCATCATATTTTTAACCACAGAAAATAGTTTGATTCTTAACCCAAAATGCTACACTTCAATAAATTGAGTCATGCATACTTGAAGGGGCTCTAGTGATGATGGTAAAGGATATTTGTGATGTTGTGTCATGGCTCCTTCATAACCTTAGGCTGAAAGATTTTGTGACAAAATCTAGCAGAAGAACAAAGTTGCAGGTTAATCACACATCTGCAGGACAAAGTGCACCCCGGGCCTAGCTTGTGGGTTTATCTCAGGCAGCTGTTTTGTTTTGAAGTTACTTTCATTATGGTCATTGATTTTTTTTTTCTTAATTTTTAGCAACTGGTTTTATTGGTCTGCACCAGATAATTCATCAGCCAAACAGACTCCTGTACTGGAGTGACGTGGACAATGAATCCCTGTGCGCCATCAACTTGTAACAAAAATCTGACTTGTGCTGAGATGAAATCATTGGTCACATTTGAATATTCATATTATACATAACCAGTAGTGATCTTAATCTACATGTGCTGTGAGCAGCAATGCTGACTAGCCTAAATGTGAAGAATATAATCCTTCACTTCTTGGCAATGCAATTTTGGAGGAATGTCTGCACTCTCTCATGCCATGAATGTAATCCTTTTTATTTTTGTTTCTCCTAGACTGTGATGAGCCAAGTGCACTGCTTGTCCTAGCAGAGGAAGAGCTGGTAGCAATTGATTTAAAGACCCCTTCGTGGCCAGTGATTCAGTCACCATACCTGACACCTCTCCACTGTTCAGCAATTACATGCTCCCACCACGTATCCAACATCCCCATTAAACTCTGGGAGAGAATCATTGCTGCTGGTAACAAGCAGACCTCTCACTACTCCAGTAAGGTAAGACACCTATTTGGAACTGGTAGGTATTGCATTTGAATAAAGGGGGTTGGGGGGAAAGAAAACTATTCTAGTGAAGCACCTAGCTGAAATTGCAAGGTACTGTCTGTTTGTCCAGTGTCATAATTAGGAGCAGCAGCAAACTTGTAGCAATGTGCTTCACAGGAGTGTACTGAGACACTCAAATGCCAGTCACTGAAGATGTTAGGTATGAGCAAATGTCCAAAGACTAGTCAAAAGTAGAAATTGAGAAACATCTTAAATGAGGATAAAGAGTGTCAGAAATTTGGGGTTATACCAGGAAACCCCTCAAATGGAGAGGGTGAAAGCTTGCCTAAAATGGCAAGTGGGAGCCAGTGTGTGTAACTGTCTAACGCTGCCTCCTTTTTTATGTATTGTGATTGACTGTCTAACCTGCCATAATTGCCATTCTTTGCAGTTCTGTAATCAATGCATTGCAACGTCAGCCAGTAACATGAATAAGACTTTTCAAAGTTAATAAATTTAATGACCAAGGCAAGGAACCCTCTGCTGTAAGGGAAGATGCTGAATACAAATGAAGGCACAATTCATTCTTCCAGCATTCTTAACAGTGCTTTGCTTTGAGTCCAACACTTGTATGTTTACTTGTCTGTGGTTTGAAGTGACTGGTTAACGTGTTGTCTCCACAGCCATGGCCTATTGATGGAGGGTACAGCACCGCCCCTGAACCCCCACAGAGAGATCTGCTCCTCACTGGGTAAGGACAGCCTGTCTTCACAGCTTGTAGCTTCATCCAGCCAATTGGTGCTCAGTTCATAAACCAGATGTGATGAGCATCTCGTTCCCCACAGATGTCTACTTTCAGAATTAGTCTGAAGTTCAATGTTAGAAGTGTAGCAGTTAGTTTGAGCCACAGGATCCCAAAAAATCAGATGAAAAGTTTTTTTGTTTTTTTTTTTATTAAAAGAAGTGGAGCTGGTGATCCGCATTAACTAAGAACATGCTGACTTGGCACCTTTTGTATGCATTTTCACCAGATGTTTTGTACCCAACTGGGTTACCAGCTCTGTTAATGTCACACTCTCAAGACAGCACCTCCTGAGAGAAAGCATCTTCTGCACTAAGCTACAGGCCTAATTTGAATTGAATGAGAGTTCTGTGGTCAAAATCCCAAACTCTGTACTTTGGGGAGAAATTGGCACACTTTTTTATTGTACTCTGTTAATTGGTTAACAGAAACGAGCAGTGTGTATTAACTTGAATCTTGTTTTTAAAAGCCAAGAATCTTTGGGGCTTTTAGGAAAAAATAGAAAGTAGTTGTAATTTATATTATGGCACAGATTGAGAGATGGCTCCACTTTGCTGCTCTCTGGTTGCGTGCTTTTTGGTTTCAAATGTATTTTCCTATTTAACTTTTTCCCTTCATTCCACAATTTATTTTGTTTTTTTCGATGAGTTGAATATGATGAAAGAACAGTGCAAAGTCTGCCAAAAACCGCCTTGGCACGCTGCGAGGAATACCTAACCTGATCTCGATCCAGCATTCTCTTTCAACTCCAGAATGCATACCAAATCATATTTCTAGAGGACAGTGGGTTTAAAACCTGAAAAAGAGATCAAGACACATCTCTAAGCCTAGGAGAGAGTGTGGGGACACGAGGAGAAATAGAAACTGGTTGTTTTGGTTGCGGGGTGGGGGCGCGGGAGGAAGGATGTAAAGGGACACTTGAATTGCAGTACATAGCACAGTGACCCCTATGTGGAGCCTTGAGGTTTTGTCAGAGAAGGCATGTGCAAGAAGCAAAGCCAAGAGTTCCATGTCTTACAGGATTGATAGCTTCTCACTAGTTCATAGAATCCCTACAGTGTAGAAACAGGCCCTTCGGCCCAACAAGTCGACACCGACCCTCGGAGCACCCACCCAAATCCATTCACCTGTAACCCACCTAATCTACACATCCCTGAACGCTACGGGCAATTTAGCATGGCCAATCCACCTAGCCTGCACGTCTTAGGACTGTGGGAGGAAACTGAAACACCCGGAGGAAACCCACGCAGACACAGTCACCCAAGACTGGAATTGAACCCAGGTCCCTGGTGCTGTGAGGCAGCAGTGCTAACCACTGCCACCGTAGATGCTGAGGTATACTTCATTCTAGCAGCAAGATGAGACCTGTTATTCTCTGCCATTTATAGAAAATGGGGCATCAAAATCAGAAGTTGGATAACTGTGGAGCTAGCGAACACAGCAGGCCAGGCAGCATGAGCAGGAAAGTGGACGTTTCGGGTCGGGACCTTTCTTCAGAAATATGTTCCTCCAGCTCCACACTGTTATCTCTGACTCCAGCATCCTGCAGTTCTGACTATCCTGTGAAGTTGGATACATTTCTTTGGGATAAAGGCAAAATGCTGCAGATGCTGGAAATGTGAAACAATGAATGCTGATTAAGCTCACATCTGGCAGAGAACAACTGAGTTAACATTGAGTTCAGTATGACTCTCCTCTTTTCAAAAAGGAAGAAAAAAACTTCTGTTTACCCTCCCTATATCTTAACTTCTGAAGAGTCACAATGGACTTGAAATCAGATCTGGAGCTTTTTTTGTTTGGCAGACCCTCAGTTCATGGCCCTGAGATGGATGTCACAACTGAGGGTCTTGGTGACCATTTAGTATATGATCACTAATTTTCCAAGGTAAGCTTTCCTCAATTCCTAAATTAGTTTCACAACAGAATAGGGTGCATCAATGATCTCCACCCTCTCTCTGATGATATTCATTTCTCGTGGCAGACATGAAGATGGGACAGTACGTTTCTGGGATGCTTCTGGAGTGTGCCTGAAGCCTCTTTATAAACTCAGCACAGTTGGTGTATTTGTCACAGATGCAGATCACAATGACAACTTGAATCAGTCTGGGGAGGATGAATGGCCACCCCTCCGGAAGGTAAGTAGTTGTATATCAGTGTTGCTACATGGATTTTACATAACTAGTGATTGGCAGTGTCGTGCCAGGGATCTGAACCTTGTGTCGAATGTGAGGGAGAGGGGACCTGAATAAATGTTCAGGTGGAACATCACCTGCCAATCTATAATTCGCCATTTTCTCTCTGGGGACTGGTAATGCCAAACTCTCACTTCCATCATTCTGTTTGAAAATGGTTCAGTCTTTGAGCAGTGCTTTTAATATTGCCTCAGTCTTAGAATTCTTCTTTCTGTGTCAGCGATTGTGGATTCAAACACTATTCCTAAACACTTAAAACAGGTTAATGCACCAGTGTATTGCTGAGGGAGTGCTGGACTGTCAGAGCTGTCATATTTTGAATGAATATTAAACTGAGGTCCATTCTTCTCACTATTGAAAGAACATAGAAATAAACCAGAACAAAGTTTGAACCGCATGATCTTTTCAATTCATTCTTAAGTTATTTATGCTGTGTGTATCAGAAAGAGTTGAGGGCTGTTACCTGCCCTGTATGGCAGGCTGTTGCAAATCTCCAAATCTGATGTGTTGAGTGTCAGCTGGGTAGCCAATTATTGTGCACTAGTCGTAAGATCAGAGTTTCAGTAAAATCTACCTGAATTTGCTGTCCATGAATTTGTAGGCACTGATACTGCAAAAAGAATTTAAGTGAGTCAGTCTTTCTCATTTTAATAACGTCTGAGCCCTTGTCATCCATCTCCACTTCTTTTGATGGTGAGACTGTTTTCCCCCAACAAAGCTGCTTTCAGACTGCTGGGATCCTGACTGAGATCGGCTCTCACTGGCAGGATGATTTGGGAATGGTCACCGGACCCGAAATGTTAACTCTGACTTCCTTTTTTTTCTTCACAGCTGCTGCCAGACCTGCTGAGCTCTTCCAGCAACTTCTGTTTTTGTTCCTGATTTACAGCATCTGCAGTTCTTGGGGGTTTTAAAGGTTTTGTCCTTGTTCTGTTCTATAAGGTTTTTCTTTTCATGTTGTGTCTCTACAGGTGGGCTCCTTTGATCCATACAGTGATGACCCCAGGCTAGGAATCCAAAAGATTCACTTGTGCAAGTATAGCAGTCACTTGACAGTGGCGGGCACTGCAGGACAGGTGAGTTGAGGAGCATTATGCTTTGAAAAAAGTAGTGAGGAGCCCCGAACGTTATAACTGATGCCACGGCAATGCGCAACTCACCACCACCACCACCACCCCCACAAATGCCCAAAAAAAAGTGCACATCCACACAGTGAACTGCTGAACCTTCCTCTAAGAAGCAGCTAATGTCTAAAAGATAATTTAGTTTTTTTTTTTTAACCCTTTTTTAACAGCAGAAAACATGAGTTCAGACTTGAAACAAACAGTAGTAAGAGAAAAGTTTTTGAAAAGACTGGTTTTCCTGTCCCCAGTCAATTTCTGAAAAGTTTGAATACCTTACTGTGAAGGCACAGCAGGAATGTTACTGGAGGCAGCATCCTGTTTGTGACATTAGATCAAAATGTTGGTCAAAGAATTCCCTCATTCACACAGCTGTCCATATCTTTGTTACTTATGCCTTTTGTTTTGCCTGCGCAGGTTTTGGTGTTGGAGTTGAATGATGAGGCTGCTGATCAGGAGGTGGTCTGCACGCTCGTTGACATCTTGCAAGACCAGGATACGTTTAAGTGGAAAGGGCATGAGCGTTTGAACCCACGTGAGGAGCCTGTCCATTTCCCCGCAGGCTTCCAACCATTTGTCCTTGTGCAGTGTCAGCCCCCAGCTGTTGTGACATCACTTGCCCTACATTCCGAATGGAAACTCGTGACTTTTGGCACAAGTCATGGCTTTGGGCTGTATGACTACCAGCAAAAACGCACCGTTGTGGTGAGGTCAGTTAAAAGATTGTCCAGCCAGTGTACTTGGTTCCTGTATGGTCAGATCAGTGTTTGTGCATTCACTCTGATGTCTGCATATATAAAGGTCCAGATTGTTGGTCAGGCTTTTTTTCAAACCTTTCTGGACCACCTCTTGCCTTTTGTCCATGTTTTTGTGTGAGAAGCATCTAAACTAGTGTTTTTTTTGTCTTTTTTTAAAAGTCTACAGCACAGTAACAGACAATTCCAGTGTCGGTGTTTTCCACAGGCGTTGTTTTCTGCCCCTCCCCGCTCTTGCCATCAACATATCCCTTTCATCTCTATTAATCTATGCTATTCAACTCTGCTAGACCCGGTGTGATAATGAGTTCTCCTTCAATTCCTGATTCGGATTTATTAGTGATTTGCTTTTTATTCATGACCCTTAGGTTATGCCTTGAATGGAAATATCAAATTTTTAATTAATTGCCAATTAGCCTGATCAAAGAACGTTGGGAATGATATTGGGGAAATGTACGCAGGAGGGAAGGAAACCATTTGGTCCTGCTGCTCAGTGAGGTTATGACTGATCTGTATCTTCACTCGGTCCATCATCTTTGGCTCCATGTCCTTGTAATTTTTGTGGCAAGCTAAAATCTAATGATCTAAAACATAAAATAGTTAATTCCAGTATGTACTGTTTTCTGGTAAAGAGTTTCAGTCCCCACTCTATGAAGATTTTTTTTCTAACTTTTCTCTTTTTTTTCAAAAGGTACTATTGCCATTTCCCAGATCTCCCACCAGAGGGAGAGGTTTACCTCAACCTATGCAATATGAACTTTTGAAAATCCGAAAAGCTTTGATCAGAGAACCTCTTTTAACCACCTCTTATTCCAGGGAAAACCAATTTTTTTTTCGGAATCTCACTGCATAATCTAATCATTAGATTTGAGCTAACAGTTTCTGTGGGCAAAACTGAGCTTTATGATCTGACTATACATACAAATTAGGAGTGTAAGTAGACAACGCACCTGCTTTGCCACTTGGATAAATCATAGCTGATCTTTTACAGTGGCTTCAGCTCTACTTTGCTATTTCTTCCCTAGATCCTTTGACTTTCTTGTCAATCAAGAATCTGCTTAACTTGCCTTTTGAATGTATTAATGACCCAGCCTTCACTGCTCGCTGGGTAACACAATTCTACAGGCTTAGCACCCTTTTAGAAAGGAAAAAGAAATCCTCATTTGTCTGAAATTTCTTGTGTATCTTTTTGGTTTTGTTATTCTGTGTCACTTGTAGAAAGTGGGGCACAAAAATCAGAAGTTGGGCAAATTTCTTTTGGGGTAGAGACAAAATAGTGAATGCTGGAAAAACTTGGATCAGGCGCATTTGTGGAGAAAATAACAACAGTTAATATTTTGAGTCTGGCATGACTCTTCAGAGTTTTTTTTTTTTTTAAATTTTTGTTTACCTCATGTCCTTCTGACTTCTGAAAGTCATACCAGATTGAATGTTAATTCTGTTTCTCTCTGCACAGATGTTGCTGGACCTGTGGAGTTGCTCCACCATTCTGTGTTTGTCCCACATAGAGTCCTCTAGTATGGAACTCTACAAAATAGATATCGCTGTCAGGAAAGTTTTTTTAACATACAATTAAAGGAATCCAATGCTAAGAAATTTGGTCTCTCTTCAAGCCTTTATCACTGAGCAGGCTGTCATTCTGTGGTCATCTCATCTCCAAAGCTGCTCCATTTGAGGAGCACATGATCCACTGACTGATTTTGGCTTCAAATGCAGGATTGGGGTTTGAATGAGGCAGAGTGCGTACTTCTGAGCACAGGGACAATGACCCTACAAGTGGGATACATCCTCCATATAGAGGAAATTTCAAATGTTCAGTGTTATCATAAGGGATTGTCTACAGACCATGCTTTGGGAGAATATGGACGGAATAATTACTCCAGTATCCACATTAAATCACTCGGGGAAGACTCAACCCAGGGTGAGATAATAAAGCACTATATACACTGACCCCATCAAACACTCCGAGCAGTTACAGCATTGAGACACTTGCTTGGCCATTCGCATGTAATTGTGCATTTGGCTGCAATGTTTATTTGAGGGTACTGTGAGCTTATTTTATTGTACCTCCTGTAGGTGTACACTCCACCCCAGTGACCAGCTGGCCCTTGAAGGGCCCCTCTCAAGAGTAAAGTCAATCAAAAAATCATTACGACATTCATTCCGTCGGATCCGGGGGACCAGAGCATCGGGGAGAAAAAGAGCAATACCTGGGAACAATGCAGCTAAGGTAAGGGGAACCTTGTATTATAACGTAAACAAGATTTTGAGTGGAGAAATGAATGCTGGGGTGGGAGTGATACTTGAAGGGTTTTCAAAAGAGTGAACATGGTCTTGTCTGATTCACTTGCTGGGTTTTCAGTTTGGTAAGATATGAAAATGGCGATTTTAGACATTTTTAATACTTTGAAAGCATTACTTTGATATCAAACAGTGTGCAGTACTCACCCTGGGAGTGTTTGGAGAAAATGTGAAGTGTTATGCTGTACCTGCCCTGAAAGCATGATAATTCAGTTCCCAGCTGCTGTGGTGTAGACTCACTGTTCCCACAAAGAAAAGAAGATGTAGGACAATGCAGTATAAAGAAAGCAAATAAAAAGCTTGTAGCAGATGCCAAGAACTTCAATTATGGAAAGCTTAGAGGAGAGATGAAAAATAAGTTAGGATAAAACGAGCACTTGAAAGAATGTTGTCATGTAAATCGAGGAAAAACTCGGATTTTTTAAATGCATAGAGCAAGAGAGTTGTTAAAGGATAATAAACCTAGAAGAGCTTTTACAATGTACAGATTAGGAATAGAAGTAGACAATTTCATCCTTCATGCTGCACTGCCATTCAGCAAGATCATGACTAATTTTGTTTTGAATTCCACACTCCCAAATCCCACAGTCTTTTTGTTCTTGCATATTGAGAAGCAATCCACCTTGCCTTAAAAGTAAGTGTCCCTGCCTCCCCCAGCTTTCTAAAGTAGTTATCCAAAGTCCTGCAAGCCTCGGAAATAATTGTTCCATCTGTCCTATCGGTCTCTTTCCATGCTGTACATCTCTGACTCTATAACCCCTAAATTTCCTAGTGTCCTCTAGTTCTGGACTCAGCCACAAGGAAATATTCTTTCCACGTTCACCTTGTCAAGACCATTCAGGATCTTGTACACTTAAATTGAGGTGCTCTTATCCTTCTAAACAACACTGAAAACAAGGCCAGCTTGTCCTCCCAAGACAACCCACTTGTCTCCTATCAATCCAGTAAACTGCCCCGAACTGCCTCCAATAAGTTTATATCGTTCCCTGAAGAAGACCACAGTGTGCACCATGTTCATGATAGGATCTCAGCAATGCCCTGCATAATTGAAGCATGACATCCTTAAGTTGTTCTCATAAAGTATTGCATTCCATGAGCTGCAATTACTTGCTATACTCTTGTGCATAGATCCCTCTGTACTCAGTTCTGCAGTCATTCCCCTTTTTAAGTGATCTCTTTAAGTAAGCACTGTGACATTTTCCTAATCGTACTCTACGTGCCAGATATTTGCCCACTTTCTCGAATGTATTTCAGTCTGCATCCTCCTTGTCTCTTGATAATATTTCTGACCTATGTCATCTGCAAATTTAGCTACAATGCCATACAATCCCTTATCAAAGTCATTAATATTTGACTAACTTGATTAAGTTGTCTGAGGAATTATTCAGGAGGGCAATGTATTTGTGGTTTACATGAATTTTTGCAAGGCTTTTGACATGGTACCATAGAGCGGGCAGGTTGGAAAAGCTATAGGCAGCAAGAAAGAGGCAAATTGGGTACTAAGCTAATCAATGATAGGAAGCAAAGGGTGAAGATTGTTGGGTGTTTAAGTACTCTGTAAAGCTGTTTTCAGGACGGTTTGCCTGGATTGGGAATCTTTTTCCAAAATTTTACTCGTGGAATGTGGACATCGCTGAACTATTATAACATTTAGTGTCATCCCCCCCCCTCAACCCCATGAATGTGGTGGTGATCTGCCTCGATTCACTGCAGTCCATGTGTTGTGGGTTTATGGAGCAATTTCCAGAATATTGACCCAGGTCTGGATGGTGAGTGGCTTGGAAAGAAGCTTGGAGGTGGCACTGTTCCAAGTTATCTGCTGCCTTTGTCTTTTCTAAATGGAAGTGGTTGTGGATTTGGAAGGTGCTGTCTAAGGATCTTTGGAAAATTTTCTAGGTATGTAGTACACAATGCTGTTACTGTGCATCAGTAGTGGATGGAGCAGATGTGATGCAATTCAATGCATTGCTTTGCCCTGGATGGGTCAGTCTTCACCGTTGTTGGAGCTGCAGTCATCCAGGCAAGTGGGAAATATTCCATCACACTCCTGCCTTGTGCCTTAAGTTAATCACTGCAGGATTCCTAGCCGCTGACCTGCTCTTGCAAACAGTATTTGTGGCAAGTCCTGTTTGATTTCTGGTCATTGGTAACCCCCAAGGATGTTGATAGCAGGGGATTCAGTGATGGTAACACTGTTGAATATCAAGGAGTAGTAGTTTTTCTTATTAGAGATAGTCATTGCCTGGCATTTGTGTGGCATGCAAGTTACTTGTCACTTGTCACTTGTCAGACCAGATATTGTCCAGATCTTGTTGCATTTGAACATGGACTGCTTCAGTATCTGAGGAGTTGCAAATGGTGCTAAACGTTTGTACAATCATAAGTGAACAACCCCTCCCCCACCCCCAACTTCTGACCAATTTATAGACGGAAGATCATTGAAACAGCTGGAGATAGCTGAACCTAAGACACTACCCTGAAGTGTAGAGATCATGCTGAAATGGCTGACCTCCAACAACTACAATCTTTTACCAATAGGCTGGATATGACACTAACCAGTGGAGAGTGTGGCCTTGATGTCAAAGGCAGTCACTCTACCCTCCCCTCTGGAATTCAGCTCTTCTTCTTTTTTTTTTTTTTTTT